CTAGACGAACTCCATCGCCGAGTGGTATGCACACCGGGTTTCAAGGTATCGCCTACTTGAGAGGCCCCGGGTTCGAATCCCAGTGAAGGCAGATGTTTGCGCGATGAATACGAGCATTTGTACTCGAGTCATTGATGTTTAATTTGGCACTGTAGGCTTATTATTGGTTACCCTAGTATCCCATAACACAAGCCTACAGTGCTTACTTTGGGGCTACACTAATTGGTGTGAGTGTTGAAAGTATATTTATATTTATTTACTTGGTCTTCGTGTGGAAGATGGAGGTTACTTACGGTCCTGTTTACATAAAATAGTGTGTAGAACTTTTATAATAGGTTTATTCTTATTTATTCTTCTGCATCTCGTGGTATCTATCTCGTGACATTTTAAAAAAATGGAATTTGATTACACAAAGGATCGGTAACATAAAAATAACGTCAGACTTATTTATATTCTACAGAATAATATATATGTATTTAGGTATTCTATACAATGTACAAATGTCTGGGGCGTCCGTCTAGGCAATGTGTGAAATATTATTTAAGGAGTTCGCTCCTCGCAAAACGTTATAATGACGCATCTGTTCAAACTACTTTTTTTTACAGTCTGGAGGTTTCCGACCCGTTACATTTTAATCTCAAATAATTTTCAATGAAAACCCCCAAAAAAGTGTTAAAATAATCAAAAATATAAATTAAAAACCACGCCAAAAGCTCGCTGGAGATAATGTAATTCAGTTTTATACAGCTCCTGTAAAATTTAATTTTATGTAATTATACCGAGTGTCTATCAGAATACAAATTTTTTGAAATCGATTTTCATTTTACCGAAAACTATTCCACGATTTTTAATATATATTTTTTTTGATTCATCGAATTTTTAATCATAGCTGTTTTCAATCATCGAAAAACGTTTCTTTAAAAAAATCTTTTAAAGTTGTTTTGATTACCAGAAAAACGGTATATCGAACTTACATTTCGTAAAAGTATTAAGTTATTGATAAAACTATTCGTAAAAACATGTTACAATATGTATCGAAACCCATAATACTTTTTCACATAACAACTTTTTATCGCAGTAACGTTTCATCGAATGATGCATTCGCTTGTTGACGATTTTTTGTGTTGCGGTCAGTTCTATAATATTTTTTTCCTACCTACTAAAGCTTAATAATTATACTCGTAACTACATACTGCGTGTTGACAATATTAGTTAAAATGTGTCATTAAATATTTTGTTCTCTCGCGGGCCGCCTCGTGGTAAAACTGTACCATGGCCCAAGAGGTGATACTTGATTTTTTTTCAAAGAAAAGGTTTGTTTAAAAAAAACTGGTTTCCGTTCCGTTATGGTCACAACACTAACCTTTTTTTTTGAACGGGGAGAATGCATTTAAGCTCCGTCCCCGCCCACTGGGCTAGTGAGCGGGGGTGTGTGGGACTCACTCGGCTAAAGAGATAGCCGGGAATACTCCACTAAACTCCCCGGGAACTTCGCATCGCCATAATTGAGCGGGCCACGAGCATGCGCAGGGCGCTGGCTCGCGTAGGCCTGCTCGGCGGTTCACAACACTAACCTAACCTAACCTAGTGTGAAATACCACCACGTGGGCCCTGTAAGTACAGTTTAGCCCGCCTCGCCCCTTCGTGACTGTACGCGTTTAAATTGCACTCTAGGGGTAGGGCAGATAAGACTAAGTGGAGTCGGGGTAAACTGAGTCATTTTAAATACCTTTTTTTGTTCTTAAAAGACATCATGAAATCGTATTTTCGATGTACATTGATTTTTTGAAGTAAAAATTGATGTTCCCATTTTTTGCAAACTGAAACTTACGATGAAACAAAAATATGGGTAACAAAACTTCGATGTAACATTATTTCGATAAAATGTTTAAAACATGAAAAGAAATAACGATTGCCTGTATTTGTAGATAATAAATATTTGAGGAAATGAAAATGCGATGTAACCTAATTCTAGGTTTAGTTAAGTATTGAAAAAAAAAGTTCTGCGATTCGTTTTTGGGTAGGTAATGAAAATCGATGAAAGTTTTTTCGATTAAATGATGGATTCCCAATTAAACCGTTTTGTTCGCCAGCTCCTCATTTTATATTTTACACTTTGCCTCGATAAGGTGTACAATTCCTAGGGATTGTATAGAGTACCTTCTGGTCCACCGGTAATATGTGATATAAACAGATATTGGCCTGTAATTATCTTCACCAAACCTAACCTAGCCCAATTAGTTGGATAGCCAACTACCTCATAGATAATAGATAAACAAATGTGGATAAAACATAAACAAATCAAGGAAAAGTCAATTGTCGAATGCGCCGGCATTGTATAGAATACCTAGGCAAAGCTAAAAATGAATAATATTTCTTACATTGCCTTAACTTTTTAGACATTCTATACATTGCCTAAGCATTGTATAGAATACGGGATTATACAAATTGCCGGAAACATATACATAAAACAAAGATTAACTCTTAAGAAAGTTACGAATGAAATAGAATTAACTTTTTTTATGCTCTCTCTCTCTTCGTATGCCTTATCAAAATACTTAATTATAGCCCATTAGTTAACCGAACGGACAGAAGGAGCCATAAATTCAGTTTGGACCATAGTCTTAAGAATAGACAAAAAAACACAATCTTTTAAATTATATGTTATTTCTGATATTTATTATAAGTATTTTTTTTTATTTACATCCTATCCCATTTTATGGGTTCGAAAGAATGAAAAAGATATCTTATTCTTATGAAGAACATTTTTAAATAAGTATTTTATGCGTAAATATTTATATGTACTTACTTTTTAAACTGTAAAATATTAGTTTCCTGCGAATTAAGCAAAAAATCAACTATCCTTATTACATGTGGTCGTATTAGCCTATTTAGGTCAATCAACTTCTAAGTGACTCATTTGTGATCCCTAGAGGTTGATAGGTGATAAATATTTATTTTATACATTAATCACACATTAATACTATTTAAAAAATACCAGATAAATTGAGCATAATTCTATACTAATAATTTTAATTATTTTAAAGCATGTAACTGCTTGATGTTTAAATCTAAAGAAAATATAACTAGAAAAAATCCACGCGGACCAGGCAGCAGACGGGACTCGAACCCGCACCCTTCGCAATCCGGGCGGTCCGTGAGAGCCGTGGTAGCATAATTGATCAATTGAAGGGTGCGGGTTCGAGTCCCGGCTGCTATATTTTCTTTAGATTTAAACATCAAGCAGTTACACGCATACTACATCAAGCATACTATACTGTTTATTGAAGCTGAACTAATATAATTCTTTTTTTTAACGTAACTTTGGAGAAAAAAACGTGTTACCATACCGCTCCTGCCCCGCGCAGTCAGACGAATAAATAAGATGAATACAAACTCAAAATTTCTATAAAAGCATATTTTATTCTTATTCCGGTTTAATGAAAAATGTAAAGACCCTTTAGAACTAGGTTTTATAAATCATTTATTTAAAACCAATCTTTTTTTCTAGATAATGATACCGTACACGACATATATTTTGTCAACTTACTTTTTTCTTTCCTACAATATGGCGCCTAATTGTCCCCATATTAAATTGCGATTACTATCATATCATTAGTAGCACTACCATGATTAAGACGAATCGAATGTCGTATTGATCATCAAAATCGGTCCACGCGTTTGGTCTTTAGTGTGCCACAAAAGAACATACATACTCGTACATATATACACTATTAAACACTATACCCTGTTTGTGCGTCGCGCTTCGCGCTCTTGCATTGCGCAGTCGGGTAAAGATAATATCTTCTTATATTGTTTTAAACTTTCATGGTCACTTACATTATAGCTATTAACGGGATTGTTACCATGTACCTTGTTTTTTATGAGTCTCCGATATTTCGGCATTGTTGCAAGCGCCATGATCACGGAGTAACTGAAATAATTGCGGGTAGATGTTATTGGCAAACTTATCGGTCTACCCTCTGACGTCGTCTTTTCCTGCGCTTGATACCCCTACCACTGGTCACATTCTCACTACTCATTCCCGTTAATAGCTATAATATCTACATACTTCTAATTTGGTTACAAAAATGTTTTTTTTTAAGTCGAGTTTTTTTTAAGTTTGTAACTCTATGGTGAGTAATCTATGAGAAGTTTGGTGCACTACAAAGTGTTTCGGTTACAGATAATATTAATGAGCCTCATATAGAGGTGTTAGTGTTTCGATTGGGCATGATAAGCTACAACAATATGCCACTCGAACGTAAGTGGTATTTATAACTGCCATTTAATCTCATACAGTCATACTTAGTGATATCTATTTTTTTTTTCTTTTTTGAGATAACATACGTAACTTTGAGCAGCATTAAATTTAACTGACATCTTACTGTTAAGTAAAAAAAATAGGTAGGGATTAACGAAACTTACTCGCAGCGAATCTTTATTTCATGAAACCAATCTTCATTAAATTAATTGTATGCCGTATAGAATCGACACTTATATAAGTATAAGGTTATATTCGGTAACAATATAAGTATTGTGACATATAATTTGAAAGGTTTTTCTCTCATTATTAAATTCTTAGGTTAGCATTCGCTCGAATAGAAAATGGTTTCATAGTAACATAGGAACAATATTAAATTAAGGAAATTGCTACTCACTAACTTGAGCTCGATGGCAAAAGTGGCCGCGATATTTAAAGTTAAGCAACTTTAGCAGTCGTCGGTCAACGGATGGGTGATCAAAAAATTACTATCTCGAGCTCCTCCACTGCATCAGCAGTCATTAGCAACCACCAATCCAATCTGAGCCCGCGTCATTCCCCAATCTCCCCATTCCATCCATAGGGAAAGCATGTGCCCCAGCAGTGGGGACATCAATAGGCTGATGATGAACTCAAGAACATTCTCTCTTGTTACAGCAACATGGGCTTCGTAGATTTCGAGCGATGGGCGAAACCCCCCGAGTTGTACACCGAGAAGTCTCGCATATGCTCCAAGATACGCGGTCTGACGCCCGGCCAGCGTCGCATCTGCCGCCGCAACAAGGACCACATGCCGGTGGTCAGCGCCGGGGTGAAGCAGGGCATTGCGGAGTGCCAGCACCAGTTTAGAGACCGGAGGTGGAACTGTACGGTCACCGAGGATGGGACGGTTTTTGGTCCGCTCACTCTAATTGGTAAGTTAGTGTTTAAGAGTAAAACCGATCGAGTTGGAAGTGGAGTTGCGCACTGAGGATTCCGTAAAGATGTCTCTTATCACACTAATATTATAATGGCGAAAGTTTGTGAGTGTGTATGTTTGTTACTTCTTCACGTCTACACGGCTGGACGGATTTGGATGAAATTTGGCACAAATATAGTTTATTAAGACGTTGGATACTTATTATCTCGAAAAAAATTTTAGGTTCCCGAGGGATTTTCAAAAACTTAAGTTAACGCGGACGACGGTACGGACGGTATGTAATAAATGGTCTTCACAGACGAATACATTAGACGGACAACATAGTAATCCTATAACGGCTTCAAATATTCTTTAGACGAATGAAACCCTAAAAATCAGTAAAAGTTATCAATAGTATTCAGTCACTATTTATGAACAACAGTTCATTAATTAACATCATATTTATTGTATTAACTTCTGTGAGCAGCTGGATGGTGTTAAGTCATCTGGATCTTATGTGAAAATGGGCGTTCCCCAGGGATCGATTTTAGGTCCGTTTCTATTTTTATTGTAAATAAATGATTTGCCATTTTTGTGGAAAAATTGTGTGAGATCGTATTGTTTGCTGATGATACTTCTTTATTATTTAAGGTTGACCGATACAAGAATAACTTTGACGTGCTCTCGTGATAATGCTCTCTCACAAGGATTGCACTAGTTTAATGTAAATAACTTAAAATTAAATGCAAATAAAACCAAATGCATTAAATTCACTTTACTTAATGTTAGAAGCGAAACCATTAGAATTAAATTAAACAATGAAAACCTAGATTTAGCTGAATCAACGATATTCTTAGGTATAACTATAGACTCGAAATTGCAATGGTATCCTCATATTTTTCTGCTAGCTGGTAAACTTAGTTCAGCAGCCTATGTCATACGTAAAATATGACAACTTACTGATGTAGCTACTGCTAGAACTGTATACTTTAGTTACTTTCATAGTATTGTATCCTATGGTATTATTCTCTATAGATCAGCAGCCGATATTGAAACTATATTTATCTTGCAAAAAAGAGCCATAAGGGCTATTTATCAACTTAGTTCTAGAACATATCTTAGAGAAAATTTTAAAGAAATCGGGATTCTGACTGTTGCTTCACAATTCATTTATAATTGTATACTTTTTGTTCGAAGCAATATTAACTATTATCTCAAACACAGTGACATACGTTCTTTTAATACAAGGAATAAAAATAAACTCAAGATACCAAATTACAGGTTACAGAAGTTTCATAAATCATTTATGGGTCAAGGTATACATTTCTATAATAAGATTCCTATTGATATCCTTGAATTGCCTCCTAATAAATTTAAAATACATGTTAAGAATTGCTTACTTAAGAAAGGATATTATACCGTCAATCAATATTTGAATGATAAAACGGCTTGGTTGTAATTTTACCTATAGATAATTTTTCAATAGTTATATTAAAACTAAGGTTCCCAGCCTTAGAAAGAGTTTTGAAGAGAACCTTGCACTTACTCCCTTTCATATACTTGTTCATTTTGTTTTGAAAATTGTTTCTTGCTATATTGAGACTTTTCTTTCACAAGTGCTTGTAACAGCCTAGACTGAATAAACGATATTGAATTTTGATTTTTTTTAATTTTGGACCTATTATAATATATAATCCGAATATGTATTTTTATACATGAAGTCACATCACAACATCATTCACATTTGTTTGTCTACTTTCTTTATGCTTAAGCATACACATATCTGACAAGTTGTTATAAAAATCACATAAGATAGTGCGAATTGTGAAAGACTCCGACGTGGTGGAAATGAAATCTTATCTGAAACAACAACGTTGATTTATAGCTGCAAAGTTCGCCTTCATTCTTTTCACCATTACAAATAGGAATGAAAAATCTAGATCTCTCGCTTCGTTGATGCGTAGGAGGATTTCTATTCTCTTTGGAGGATCCTGGCACATACTTTGATGAAATATAGGTACATTAAAAACAAAAGACAACCTAAACGTATAATAACTTATCGAATTCCAATAAATCTCTTATCTATTAGACAAGTCCGTCCGTCCGTCCGTCGTGCTGTTTCAGCGGCCAAACCGTAAGAGATAGATAAAGAGAATGTTTAAGTTATAAGTTGAGAATAGTCTGATAAGACTACAAACCGGATGTGAGTAACGTAGCACTTCCGGTTTTCGAGAAATCACGTGATTTCTATTTCAAACGAAACCACACAAAATCTCCGAAGTTCTCAATTAATTAAATACATCTTTTTTTTTTTGGTGAACATTTGGTTCACTAGTTTGCTAGTTTAGAATAATTTCCGTATAGCCACATAACTTAAGCGAAATTCTTCATAGTATGTCTGTAATAAATTAATTATTAGTTTTCGATTGAATATAGTTCCGCAATGCTGTTAAATAGAGTTTGATTGTCAAAATAAGAAGAATTTAAACAGCTCAGTATTATAATGCATTAAAATATTTCAAAATCAGCAGAAAAAGTTTCAAATGTATAGTGATTGGCCGAGGGCCAAGTACAATAATTTTCCCCCACGTATATCAGTGATTGGCATTCTGGATATTTAGAATTCTATTATATATACCTAAATTTTATGTATGTATATTGGCCCATGCAGATGATGGATTTTTAACAGTGGAGGACAAAAGTCCCTCAATCTTTAAAAAAAATGTCCACAGAGGACTTGTCAAGTCCGGCTTGTCGTGTCCGGTGACGGTTGTGGACTTCGTTTAAAAGTTGTTTGGTTAGTGATGTACCGGAGTGGATCAGGAGTGTGTGCGATGGACCGGAAGCGTCCGCACTGGGCTCATTATGCTTTGGGACCATTCCGCACTGAACACATTCCGCACCGGGCCCATTCCGCACTGGAACAATTCCGCTGCCGAAAGTAACCGCTCCGTTTTAAGAGTCGATACTTACTAAACCACTTAAAACGGAGTGGTAACTTTCTCTTTTGGCTGATCGAACTGGTGCCGCCTAGCCGTCAACCAACGGTGGGCTAGTCGTAAACGCCTAGCCATAGCATATCCAAACGTACTGGGACTGCTCATCCGCATAAGTTAGGTGGACTCCTGTTTGACAGTAAGTGGAAAGGCGAGTCGATATCGATCCTTTTCCGAGATGATATGTATCTTTATTATCGCCAGCCTATTAATGTCCTCCTGTGGATGAAATGGAATGGAATAGGGCGATAGAGCCACAGTGTGGATTGATGGGTGTTAACGACTGCAGAAGCACGAATGAACTCGAGATACTAAGTTTTTGGTCACCTATCCAATGACAGACCATTGCGAAATTAAGTTAAGTTAAAAACATTAGTAAAGGTTCCACCGAAAAATCTGATAATTTTGGTTTAACAAAAAGGGCACACAGTAAAAATACAGCTGATTTTACGATTGAATGCTTGGAGAAGTTAATAAATTCTTCTTCATATAAATATTACAGACTTTTATTCGCTAAGTTGCAGACTTCCTTACTCTGATAGATCCCAAACGCAGTATTATTTTGTTCAGGTCGCGGCATTTCAAAGATATTAAAAATAATTTTTAGTTAGTAGAAAAAATTCAACACTACTGACAAAGTTGCAAGTAGAGATCACATTATCACTTTACCCTTTATAATATGAAGAATGAACTAGGATTAGTTACTCTTTGTGAGGAGCTCGATGGCACAGGTGGTTAGCGCATTCAGCTGCGATCGTTGAAGTTAAACAACTTTCGCAGTAGTCGGTCATGGGATGGGTGACCAAAAATCTTCTACCTCGAGTTGCTCCGTGCTTCGAAAGGCACGTTAAGCTGTTCGTCCCGGCTGCATCTGCAGTCGTTAGCACCCACCAATCCGCACTGGGCCCGCGTGGTGGGTCATGACCCAATCTCCCTATTCCATCCATTGGGAAGACCTGTGCCCCAGCAGTGGGTTATTAATAGGCTGGTGATGATGATGATGACTCTTTGTGTTGTCTCATTAAATTTCAAATGGTATTTGAGTGATATGAAAAAATATTAGTCTTACCTCGTTTATTAATGAGGCGGCTAGTGGCTGCATGTATAAGAATAGATATGGGGAGAAGACTATGCTACACTCGTATGATATTAACAGGTGCAGCCACATAGCCCCTTCGACTCTCTCATTTCATCTGCCAAATTTAACATGACAGTTGGTAAGGGAACACGCAATCCCTAACCTAACCTAACCAGCGGCACCCCGGGACTGGGTCTGACAAAACAAAGAAAAACACATAGAAAACAAAAACCAAATAACCACCTCCATTGGTATAACGTGAACTAAACAGAATACAAAAAAACCTAAGCTAACCTAACCCCTTGTGTCATTAAACTCCTCATGTGTGTGTATTGTTGAACCCAGGTTCTCGTGAGACAGCGTTCGCGCACGCCGTGACGTCAGCAGGCGCGTCTCTGTCTGTGTCGCGCGCGTGCCGCGACGGGCGGTTGGCTAGCTGCAGCTGCGGCCGCGCGCGTCGACCGCCCGGCCTACGTGACCAGTGGCTGTGGGCCGGCTGCGGCGATGACCTACAATACGGATACACGTAAGAGTACCATTGTCATCATTATCATAAAAACAAGGGCCTGCTAGACCAGTGACTGTGAGCCGGCTGCGGCGATAACCTGCAATACGGATACACGTAAAACTACCATTGTCATCATTATCATGAAAACAAAGGCCTGTGAGACCAGTGGCTGTAGGCTGACTGCGGCGACGACCTGCAATATATATACACGTGAGTCTATCATTGTCATCATTATCATGGAAACAAAGGCCTGTGAGATCAGTGGCTGTAGGCCGACTGCGGCGACGATCTGCAATACGGATACACGTAAGACTACCATTGTCATCATTATCATGAAAAAAAAGGCCTATGAGACCAGTGGCTGTAGGATGACTTCGGCGACGATCTGCAATACATATACACGTAAGACTATCATCGCCATCATTATCAACAGTACAAAAAGGCCTGTGTACAAAAAGGTGGCTGTGGGCCGGCTGCGGCGACGACCTGCAGTATGTATACACGTGAGACTATTATCGTCATCATTATCAACAGTACCTGGACCTGCGAGATCAGTGGATGTGGGCCGGCTGCGGCAATGACTTGCAATACGGATACACGTAAAACTACCATTGTCATCATTATCATGAAAACAAAGGCCTGTGAGACCAGTGGCTGTAGGCTGACTGCGGCGACGACCTGCAATATATATACACGTGAGTCTATCATCGTCATCATTATCATGGAAACAAAGGCCTGTGAGATCAGTGGCTGTAGGCCGACTGCGGCGACGATCTGCAATACGGATACACGTAAGACCACCATTGTCATCATTATCATGAAAACAAAGGCCTGTGAGACCAGTGGCTCTAGGCCGACTGCAGCGACGAACTGTAATACGTATACACGTGAGACTATCATCGTCATCATTATTAACAGTACAAAGGCCTGCGAGATCAGTGGCTGTGGGCCGGCTGCGGCGATGACCTACAATACGGATACACATGACACCATGATTACTATAAGCACAAGAAGTAAGGAGCTACTGCTGGCCAGCTGCAGCCACCCGGCCTGCGAGACATGAAATAAAAAGGCATTATAGCCCTGTCTATTGAGAAACGGCGACCATAGTTTAGAGGCACTTTCGATTCCCGTGTGTCATATTCCTGTTTTACCTATTCGGCTGCAAACTCCTTCCCAGAGGAACTCTGCTAACTTAAATTTTGGACGATTCAAAAGAGTTGCACTGTATATTCAATTTACATAAAGATATTGACTTTAATAATTTAATCATATTTGAGAAAAACTGAAACTGAAATCAATCCAGAAAATCGCGTTAATTTTCTCCCTTTAGTTAGGTTATTATGGGCTTAATATGAACTAAGAAGCTTAGTGAAATAACTCAAGTTCTAAACCAATAAAAATTTAAATTTTCCCTGGCTCAATGTATACTTATAAATATGGTATCAAATTTATATAGGTGCTAGGTGTCGCAGCGAACTTCGTACCGCCAAAAAATAGGGGTTGGTGGTAATTTAGGGTTGTATGTATTTTTGTATGATGTATCATAAAAAAATAAAAACAAAAATTTTCTCAAAAAAAAAATTAAGGAACCACTCTTAACATTTAGGGGGATGAATAATAGATGTCCGATTCTCAGACCTACTGAATATGCATATAAAATTTCACGAAATCGGTTGGGCCGTTTCGGAGAAGTTCAAGTACGCACACCGTGACACGAGAATTTTATATATTAGAAAGATAGGGGGCGATTCTCTGTAAGCTCGTAATCGGCTGTCCTGGCTGATTTTTCGTAAAGAAACTTTGTTGATTATTGGTGCGCAGTTATGCCATAGAAATAAATCATTGAATAATGTAAACTGACTATTTTCTCAGTACAACAATCCTTTGTTGCGTTTAAAACAGTCCCCTGATGCCTCAAACAGTCCCCTGTCATGATTTTTTCTGAAAATTGCTAATACGTATAAATTCAGTGGGCCTCTTCTCTTTATCTAACTAAAACATTAGCTAGTTTTCTTCAAAATAGAACTCGATTTTTTGCAAATTTTGAAAAAAATTGCCACGACAGCATATGTATGGGACCTGTACGAGCTTACAGAGAAACATCCATATACACTTATCCTAACCTATCTTTTTCGTTTCGTTCGTTTTTCTACTATGGAAGGATCCCGGGTGAGCAAGACATAACCTTCTGCATCTTATGGTTCCCTGGTACATGATGAGCTAATTAGTAGCAAGTGACAATGTTCTCTTTAAAACAAAAATGAAAACCAGTGTGGTTGTTTTACCCGCTAATGAAATTATTATCATATTGATCATCATATGTATTTTTTTTTAAATAAACAGATGTAATAAAAAAAGAACGTTGATTTCGGACTCAAGAAAATATTAAGCACTCCAGATAGTGTGAGTTGCCCCAAACAGCTAGTTAAAGTTAATTTTACAAAACTTTAACTGGCCTCGCTTGGACAGTAAATTGTTATTGTCAAATTATGAACTCATTTTGAGTATTGTCAAATAGTGGCAACCCATTAATCCAACCTAACCAGTACATTTACTGAACAGTTAAAGTTAAATTAAGTTGTTGCAATTCATTTACATCTTTAATTATGATACTTAATATCATAATTAAAGAAGTAAATTAAAAATATTCGTACATGTCCAACTTCAAATTTAACTTGGTTAACCTAAACAAATATTCATAAAAATTCTAACAAACAGTACAAAAACAAATACTAAAAATTCATGTATAACCAAACTTCTATCGAGTTATGTTAACCCAATACTGTATACTATATTTTCAACTACAACTACAGTAGAACCTTGAAGTAAACTAGAATTCTATAATACACCACCTCAGGTCTTATGTCTCCCTGCTCCGAGATTATTATTTTATTTAAATACGTCCCTCCCGGGTCACACGCCCGGGCTGCGTGAGAACTTCTCTCAACTTATAACCTCCTGGTACATTTCCCCCACTTTATCGAAAATTTCCCCGCGGAAAATTCGATCTTAATTTTGATGAAATTAACAACTAAGGTGAGAAAAGCTTAAAAAATACAATTTATTTTATTTTCATTCATTCACCAAAATTTTATTAGAAGTTTAATAAACAGTCCAGAGTAACAACACAGTACTAATATTATCTGTAATGTGGTAACACAGCGGAGAACTGAAAAAAATGGAAATACTGGAAATTAAGTACCTTATTTTGATTAAGTTTTGATTACGAGCATATCCATGATGTCTAAGCGCAAAAGGATAATGAATCAAATCTTTCGTAACCCACCTGAAAATAACTGAAATTCTCTGAAAAGGTAGAATTCACCTGCATTACGCACCTGTATACCAGGATTTCAACAAACACCTGAAGTAATTTCCTTACCTGTCGCCAAACTCACACAAACACAGGTATCGCCGCTTGAATTTAAATGTACGAATTTTCCAGGGGCGTTCACAACCCCTGATTTCTCCTTTTCAGACAGACAAGGAAAATAAATACGTCTCGTTCACTCCCACTGAAATCATGAAGGTACACCTTCCCCGTAATATTACGTGCTATTTTTCCTATGCTCTACCTGAAATCACTCTCTTCCTCGTGAAAAAGGTAAATTTCCTCCTGTTGTTTCCTTATGTCCTGGTACCCAGGTGAGACGTAAGACAGGTGAAAAATTTACCTACACGTCTAAAGTGAACAAATTTTGATTTGTTTCTGCTACCTACCTCATTAAATAGCAATTTTGTATCTGAAAAGTTAAGTATGCAGATCGGCAAAGCAGGTGGTGACAGCATCTCTAAATCTCTAAATTTTCAGACTCATCACTAATTACTAATACTATCAGATATTAATTGATTAGCCTATTCTGCTATCTGACGCCAGCCCACTATCTAGCATCATACCAACAAAATAAATTAAAATGAAATAATAATTTCTTAGTAATGTAAAATGAAATAGTTTCGTAAAAAGATATTTTTACTTCTTCTGAATTCGGATAGTAATCAAATTTTCTTGTTGGTTAGTTCATTAAAAGTATTCACCTTATTTGGTGTTAATCGCCTTTCTCTTGGTTAATTTTATTAATAGATATTTATTCTTAAAGACAATACACACAACAACATAAACTAATAATTTTCTCTATTAATGACACCTACACCTTATGTATTAACTGTAAGTAGTAATTTTAAAATGCTTATTTCTACATTTTACTGTTTTTTTTACAATTCCTTATTACAAACCCTTGTTTGGAACATTGAAAATTACCGGTGCGAATGCCGGAAATGTTAACGAGCTGTCAGTTGATCTTCACGGGTGTCAAAGCATGGCTAAAGACAGGTCCGGTACCAGGAGGTCATACGTAATGAGGAGATTCTCTCAGGGGCCCATTCATTCCACTGACGCGGTACCAAAATTTATGGGACTGATTCTAATATGCATTCTTTAAAGTGTGCACTTTAAAAAATGGTGCAATATATTAATTTAATGAACATAAAAAGTAACAGATTTAGAAATATCCCACACAAACGCGGGTATTATATTATTTTGATTAAAGAAATTTGTAAATTTTAGTCTACTTTAAACCTAAAAGCTAGCGTGAGTGATGGGACACTCGGTTGGCACGAAGTTTAACAAAAAAAACGAGTGTGCTTATGACCAAACGACTGAAGTGAAACTTTTTTAGCTCCAATGATCTGAAAATCATAAACTTAACCTGAAGATTTGTTGATAGAAAAAAAAACACCAAGCCGCGCTGGGTCCGTTATCACTCTCCAATCCGCACTGGGTCCGTTACCACCCACCAAGCCGCGCTGGGTCCGTTATCATCCACCAATCAGCACTGGGTCTATTATCACCCACCAGTCCGCGCTGGGTCCTTTATCACCCACCAAGTACTAGATTCATGTATTTTGTGACGGGTATTGTTCATTGTTTACCGAAGAGTCACCGGTGCGCGCGTAACGTAAAAATCGTAACATATTCGCCAGTTTACTCCCCAACTGTACGGACTACAATGTTTACGTCCGAAAAGGAACTTAGTTCCGAAAGTTAAGCAATTAAATGCTTAAAATAAAAAAAAAACGAGCGAGCCTTACAGTAGTCGCGTATGACGTGTAACATTTGAAACCTCACCTTAAATTCGTAAAAAAAGAAATAAAATCTACTACTAAAGGAATAAGCCATTTAAACATTATGTTCTTAAATAAAATCAAATAGCGCGCGCTTTCGCGACTTCCTGTTACACACTTCCGTCCCATTTCACGAAATCACTCCCACAAATTGCAGGAAAGCGAGAGGAAAGATGTTACTCATCAAAAACATAATAATGCCTAAAGAAAAGTTTTAATAGCAAAAAAAAAATGGGTGCGTGTACTTATGTAGGCGCGTGAGAAGTTATCCTTCTTTGGCATCGTTTAAAATTAGTTTTTAATTGCATGCAAATAATTAATTACAATAAATTAATAAAAAGTCTGGAAAAGGACACAGTCAATAAAGTTCAGTTTTAATTTGAAAAAATAAATAAATAATCAAAATATTCAATTAAAATCGCTACTGAATATAATTTATTAGAACATATGTGATTTGCACTTGTATGAAACTCTATACTAAATACAAACTAGAAACATGTGGATAAATATTATAAATATGAATACCTATAACTGTTACTTTATTACAAAAAATAAAGATGTGGTTTTTGGTTCTACTAGACCAATGGTCAAGAGATGGCGCTGTAGTCTCCTGAATCGCGCTTTGGTTCCGTTGTTCCAGATTAATAAATACTTTTTATAGGCCTTCACAATGCAATCGTTAGCACCCACTAAATAGAGATTCTATTTCTATTTTGTTGGTAGATTTTCTTAATGTGCGGTAAACACAAAAGAAACGGCTAAAGCGACCAACTTCATGCTGATAATAATTTGTGTTACAGTGATGCGCGCGCACCATAAAATTTCACTCTCATCATTTTTTCATAACGCGCCTAAAGAAGTATAACTTCAAAAACTTTTCTTTAGATTTCAACATCTAGCAGTTAAATGCTTAAAAATAAAAACATAACTATAATAATG